CTCCAGGCTACGCTGGGGCTAGGACGCAGCGGCGGGGGGGGCTCCCCGGCCGCGGGGAAGGGCTGGTAGATCCGGGGCCCCGCCTACCTCGCGCCCGGCAGGCCTGCGCCCCTCCCCCGGCGGAAGGAGCCTGACGGGGACCCCAGCCCGTCACTAGAACTAGGGACGGAAACTTGGCCAGCCCGGGACCCCCGGTCGGCTGGGACAAATGCGGACCGGGGGCTGTGGCGATTGGCTACAACAGAGCGCAGACCCGCCCACCTCCCTGTCAGCTCCGGCCCCTTGGCAGGGCGGCGGGCTCCCCCTACAGTCCTGAGGCGGCAATCTAGCGTCAGCGGTAGACAGCCAGCCACGCCCCCTCCCCATCTCCCCGCAAGGGGCTTCTCCCCACCGGCAGCCTGGCTAGGTACAGGGGTTAAACTGAGATCCAAACGGTCCAAATTAGGGGCTGAGCTAGCTGAAGATGGTAGGGGTGGGGAAGGAGAGGAGATTCCTTCTGTCCCTCCAGGGCTGGGTCTGCCGCGCATCTCCCCCCACGCAAGCCAACCGCCAATCTCGAGCCAGAAGCAATGACAGGTGGGCTGCAAAAGAGGCCTTTTTGGAGGAGGGCACTCCCTCGCCTAGATACTAGTGGGGGGGATTCGAAAAAGGAGGGAGGCACTGAGCGTGTGTGCGCACACTTGCGAAGTTGCAGTATGACAACGGTGAGGGTGGGGGCCCAGGAATTGAGGCTGAAGCCAGGAGACCACCCCATACACACACACCTGCATGTCCACATACATCTGTCACAGACAAGCCAGATCTGGGGGTCTCCCAAATCAGGTACAGACACCCACAGACCAGAAAGGGGGCTTCCAGGTCTGTAGCCAAATGACCCTAAAGAGTCTGAAAGCTGAGACCTGAGTGTCCCCAGAGTCATGGACTTTGGCCCAGAGACGTGTACATTCTATCTATCCCTTGCCTGTGTCCAAGGCTGACTCAGCCTGGCTCCCGTGGGGCTCATTTGGGAAACTGGTTTAGAAAGAAGCATCCAGTGTGGAAGTGTTTGTAGTTTTGCCAAATCAGGTGCCCACTCTCTGGGACAAACACTTCCATGTGGACAGGAGGAACCCCTCATTCCAGGTGCCCCTTGCCTGCTGGCCATGGCCTCTCCGTGAGGTGAACACTGAAGGAGGATATATCAGTTGACTTGGCAGCTCGCCCTGATGCCCTGATGGTGAGGTGTGTGTCCGAAGCCCTGACCCCACTTCTCCCCAGGCCAAGCGTAGGCTGAAGGGTCCTGAAGAGCCAAGAGGCCCCATCCCTCAGCTGCTATGGGGGAGCCTCCCTCACAACTCACCCAGGCAGACGTAGGGATTCACCCCCTCACCACTTCCAGGCGGACTCACCTTGTGGCCTTTGGGACCTGACCAGACCTTCCCCTCCCTGTACTATCAGTTCACCCACATGGTGGGGTGGGGGCCAGCTGTGCAGGGGCTGACCTTGGCTCAACACGAAGACAGGGATGGGCTCCAGCGGATATACCTCTTTTTATTTCTCTAGAAGTTAATTTCCCAAAGATGTGGGGACACATCTTCAATTTCTTCAGGGGGGTGGGAAGGTGTCACTATTTTGATCCCATTAGGCTTGTCCCTTAACTTGGCGACCCTAAATGGGTGACCACCCAGCGACCCTGAGTCTACTCACCTCCCTCTCTCCTCCACTCCTCCCCCAATCTCACCTGAAAGGGTGCAGAATGGAGGGCTGACCACTTGGGGGTGCTGGCGAGGGCAGAATGGACTCTGCTGCATTCAGCTTTGCTACAACTTTATTACCAGCATTCGGTGGGGCGCCCTCCTCACCGCCCTCCTGGCCCTGCCCCACCCCCTCGCAGGCGCAGATTCATGTACACGGTGCACCGGGCCGTGAGGCCGTACTCCCCCAGCTGATGCTGGTCCTCCATGGGCTTCCCCTCGAAAGTCAGCCAGAACTGGTCGGCTTGTGCGTGCTCCTTCTGACACACCTGCCGCTTGAGCTCAGCCACCGTCTGGGTCAGCTGGACCTCGTAGGCACTGCTGCGACCCTTGTCGTTCCTCACCAGGATGCTCAGGGGGTCCTCACAGCTCTGCACCATCAGCAGGACTGTATCGCCGGGCTTCAGACCCTGGCGGACCAGGGGCTCCCCGTCCTTCAGCACCTGTTGGCTTTCTGGGTGGGCCAGGCGCTGCTGGAAGGTGGGCACATGGATCTTCTGGGCGATCTGCTGCTTCAGCTCCGATAACAGCATGGAGTCCCTCAGAGTCACCTGGATCTCTCGGCCCTCCAGCATCTTTACCTTCAGGATTCCACCCTGTGGGCATCACACAGGCTCAGAGACCCTGGCGCCAGTCATGGCATTGGCACACATGGCAGTAGCAGTGGAGCAAGCTCTTAGAGCCCGAGGATGCTGCTCCCTCCTCTCCACCCTCCCCACCCACCCGGAGGGGGACCCCAGGCACTGGAGAATGCAAGGAGGCATTTCTAGGAGAATAGTGGCCACCCACAACCATGGTGTTGCTTCCCTTCACCCACTAAGATGCCTCCCTGTGCTGACCCCAAGGGATCCAACGGTTGGCCACTGGGCAGAATCTGCCTCTGTGGACCCTGATATTAGAAGGAGCCCTGTCCCTCCCCTCATGCTTAGGAACCTGGGGGTGTGGGGGCTCTGAGCAGCTCTGCCTGCCTGGCACACGGAAATGTTCCACCCTGAGAGGTGCCATCAGGGAGAAGGGTACAAAGCCCAGCTGCCCCACCTGTCAAACCCTCCTCACCATGGCTGTGGACTCTGGCGCCAGGCTCTCCGCAGGAGGTGTTTGGCTTGCCTCTCAGCTTCCAGCTCTTCTCCAGCCCTGGCAGCTCAGCCCTTTTAAAAGCCTGAGCAGTCACATCAGAGGGCGGAGTCAGGAAGCCAGGCTCACCAGTAGCCAATTCAGCTTCAGTTTCAGTTTCCTTTTCCCAGGGCAGGCCCCAGAGTGAGTGGTAGAAACAAAACAGAATGACGATGATGAAAAACTGAGGAAGAGGTGGGCAGGGGCTCTCCACCTGGCTGGCCAGGCCTGGGGACTGCGACAGCACCCCTGCCTCCAGGGGTGTGTGTTCAGAAACCCTCTGCATGTCCAGCACCTCAGGTCCTTTTCAAGAGCACAACATTATAACATGAGCTAACAATTGGAAACTTTCACTTTCCATTTACCAGCTTGCAAAGTAGTACACCTGGAAATCATTGCCAGGGTTAATTCGAAAATAACATAAAATAGTGACAATCCAAACTCCCCAGAGATAATCACCATTGGTTTATGACAATATTTGTTCAGATTTTATAAAATGAAATAGATGTATCTTTTATTTTCTACAAAAATGAACTCATGGACACTACTGGGAAAGTGAAAACACTACCCACAAAATGGGAGGAAACATTTGTAAATCATATGTCAGATAAGGGTGTAGTATTCATAATATATAAAAAAACTTTTAACAACTCAACAACAAAAAGATAAACAACTCAATTAAAAGTTGGGCAAAAGACTTAAATAGACATTTTAAAATATAAAATATATAAATGGCCAATAACCACATGAAAAGATGCTCAAGATCATTGATCATTAGGGAAATGCAAATTCAAAACCACAGTGAGATACTAAGTTACACCCAGTAGCATGACAATAATAATAACAATGATAATAATGAGAATGATAGCAAATATTGGTGAGGATGCAGAGAAACTGGAGCTGATGGGAATGTGAAAGGGTGCAGACACTGTGGAAAACAGTCTAGTCATTCCTCAGAAGGTTACACAGAATTTTCATATGACCCAGCAATTCCACTCCTAGGGATATGCCCAGGAAAACTAAAAACAGGTGTTCAAACAAATGCTTGCACACAGGTGTTAACAGTAGCTCTATTCACAGAAGACAAATGGTAAAAATGATAGGA